AAAATAAAAAGAAATCAATAAAATAGAAAATGATATACAAAGGAATGGTCTCTAGACACCTGGCATCAGGTAGCATAGGTCTGTGATTCCTGAGAGAAAAACAAACAAGAGGAGACTGACCACTACCCCAGGTAGTTTCCAAGGAAGAAGGGGAAGCATAAAGAGCCCAAAGAGAGGGAAATGAGAAACTGGGGAGGCAAATGCAACTAAAACTGGTGGTACAGTCCTGGTGGAGAGAGGGAGCTGCATAGGGATCCCTTGAATCTTTGGTTGAGTGCAGATCCACACCTGTAGGAGGAAGCTATCTGGGGCCAGCAAAAGACCCACTGGAAAACAGTGTGACAAACACTTCCTGAAGCTTATACAGAGCTGGGAAGAAAGACCTTGTAACATAGAATCCAGAAAGAGACCCACACAAATGAGGTCATCTGATTTTCAACAAAAATGCCAAGGCAATTCATTAGGAAATAAGCTTTTCATGACATCACACTTGAACAGTTGCACATCCACATGTATAAGGAGGAGCTTTAAACCTTACTTCATATTATATACAAAAAGTAACTCAAAATATGCAATAACCATAAATGTAAGAGCTCAAATGATAAAACTTCTAGAAGAAAACATAGAAGAAAACAAATCTTTGCAATCTTGGGCTAGAAAAATATTTTCTAAGTATCTCATTGGATCACAATTCATAAAATAGAAAGATTGGTAAATATAACTTCACCAAAATTTTAAAATTTTTCTCTCCAAAGAATAGTGTTAAGAAAATGGAAAGGTAAGCCAGAGACTGGGGGAAAACAGTTACAAAGCATGTATCTAATAAAGGACTTACATGCAGAAAACACAAAGGAAAGAACTCATAGAACTCAACAAGAAGATGAACCAAGTTAAGAAAATGGGCAAAAGATTTACATGGATACTACACCAAAGAAAGTATACAGGTGGCAAATAAGCACATAAAAAATGCTCAATTATTAATATTAGTAAAATGCAAATCAAAACCAGAGTGAGACACTACTAAGCACTCATTATAATGCCCAATTATAAGGGACTGATAACAGCAGGTGTTGGAGAAGATATGGAGCAACTGGAACCACCATGCTCATCGCTCGTGGGAATGCACGTTAGCACCACCCCTTTGGAAAACATTCCGTCAGCTTCTTCTAAAGTTAAATGCATTTACCATATGCCCCAGTAGTTTCTTTCCTTGTATCTATCCAAGAGAAAGGAAGGAAAATATCCACACAAAGACATGTACATAAATTTTCATAATATCATTATTCATAATAGGTGATAACTTGAATAAGTGTCCACCAATGGCTGAATGGATAACAAATTTGTGGGTATTCAGATGAATCTCAAAGCAAGCCAGATACAAAAAATTGCATACTGTAATTTATCATTTCTATGAAATTTTAGGAGCAGCAAAACTGTAGTGATCCAGAAAAGTAGATCACAGAATTATTGCAGAGGTAAAATGTATAGGCAATGCAATATTTCCTAAAAGAATGACCAAAATTTAAAACCTTAATAGTCAGCCTTTTCTAGCACTATAGACAAGAGAGCTTTCTCATGCATTGCTGATAGGATTATGAACTGGAGACCAATCTGAAGGCCAATTTGCGTCTGGTATAAAAAAATCCAAAAATGTTTATCTGAACCAGCAGTTCTTCTCCAGGAATTTATCCTGAGGCTATAATTAACAATCTGTAATCAGACAAGTTTATATGGGCAAAAAAAAAATAACAATACTCCAAATGTCCAAAATAGAACATCGTTAAATGAATGAGGGTAAATCCATAAAATGGAATAGCATCAAGTGACATCAAACGTTATAAACCTTTATAAAAGTGGCTTATAAATTGACTTGCACAGAAAATATCAATAAAATCCAAGAGTAGATATTGTGAGACTACATTCTCTTATCAAAATTACAGAAAAGTAAAAATAAATAACAAAAAATAGAAATATCATAAAATTATTTTACAAACTTATTCTTCAATAAGGAAGAAAAAAATTACAATATTAAGATGTTACATGTCAATTTATAAGACACTCTACATAAAACCTGTGGGATGTGGCCAAAGTCCTATACTGAAAGGAAAATTCAGTTTTAAATATTTTCATTATTAATCCCACAACAAAATAATTAAGGAAATAAAATATTTATTTCAGAAAATTTAGAAAGAGAAAAGCAAAATAAATGTAACAACAGAAATTCAATACTGACAGAAACGACTTTTAATGTTAAAAAAATAAACCGAGAAGAATGGAATATATGTAGAAAGGAGCAGAGAAAATGGAAATGGTTAATTCAGGTGACGCCCAGAGTCCTCATTGTCACCCTCCCCTCAGGGACTGTGAAATAACCATGTACCCTTATGGGGTACGTCACTTTTCCATTTTAAAGCAAGCTGGAGCTGGCTTGAATGTGTAGACAGCCTTATGACTTTAGAGTTGAGATACCAAATCCAGGAAGCACAATGTATAAGACTGAAATATTTGACTGATTACATAGACCTTTTTAACTTTACTCAGCAAAACATCCACAAAGATGTAAAAAAACAAAACCCCTACCAATATGTGAAATACAAACCACAAAATGAATATATAGACTTATACATATATATTTGTTAAATTAAATATATATATATATATCTCTCTCACGTGGAGTTGACACAGGTTAATATTCTTACTGTACAATCATACATAAAAGAGCATCTCTATATAATAAATGAACCAACACTGTCAACAGAAACTTACGCAAACAAAAATACCAATGGACAATAAAAATATGAATATAAGTTAACCCTCAATGCTCCTTTTTTAGAAATCATACCAACAACCTATTTCTCCTCTCCCAGCTTGTGAAAGGTGAAAAGGATTTGTAGTAGTATGTGGTGATGGGGTTGTGGGAAAATAAGCTTTCTGCACAAAGTGCTGTTGGCCAGTGTTTAAACTGGTCCAAACTTTCTGCTGGTCTGCACGCACTTGTTGACTCAACAGTTCTGTGTGTAAGCATTCATCACAAAGAGACACCTGGAAAGACTTACAAAATTGAACATAGAAGAGGCATCATCACACACCATGGGTGCAGCAGTGAAAAAGTGGAAACAATTAAAATGTCCCCCCAAAAGATATGTCGAAGTAAATTATGATTACTTGGCACAATGGCAAACCTGATCGATTGGTGAATTGTCCCATGACAAATTGTGGAGATTTATGATAGCGCAATTTAGAGTTTAACATAAAGTAGAACTTGGTTTTAATATGAATGTAGGCATAGACATAAAGACGTGGGGATAAAAGTCTCTGCCCAAGTATGAACAGAATTACTCCTTCTAGGGTGATTTTTTAATTATATTTGCTTTTGTCTTTATTTTCGTTAGTTCTATTTGATATATTTTTTGTAATGAGCATATCTCATCTTCCTATCATGATACAAAATTATTTCACTCTGGAAAATGGGCTCAGCGACGCCTGGGTGGCTCAGTTAAGCATCTGCCTTCGACTCAGGTCATGATCCCAGGGTCCTGGGATCGAGTCCTGCATCAGGCTCCTTGCCCAGCGGGAGCCTGTTTCTCCCTCCGCCCGCCGCTAGCCCCTGCTCTCTCTCTCTGACAAATAAATAAAATCTTAAAAAAAAGAAAATGGGCTCAAAGGAAATAACTACTGAAATAACTATTTAAAAATGTAGTCAAAATACTTACTTGGAAAAAAATCTGTTTTCCCAATAATATACAATGTTGTGAAGATAGAGTAAAACACACCTATTCAACTGTGTAAAGTTGGGTGGTCAGATCCATAAGAATTTTTCTAAAGAGCAGCTGAGCAAGGCATAGCAACAGCGTCAGCAAAAGTTCATATGCTTTGACTCACTTCCAGAAATCCAAGCCAGGAAATACCCAGAATATGGACAAGGGTTATGTAGAAGGATTTCATGCACGTTTTTTTTTTTAAATCATGAATTAAAAATCATCGTATGTCTCCAATAACTCGTTTAACAAATATTTGCTGAGTTTCTGCTCTTTGACAGACCCTGGGGTCTAGTGGTCAGCAAAACAAACATGTCCCACCTCCTGAAGCCCATAGTCCAGTTCCTCTAATGGGAAAGACAGATGACCGACTCATTCCACCAAACATAAGTTAGGTGCTATTCAAGAAAAGTACGGGGCACAAATGTGCATATACGCTATTACTTTATAATCAAAGAATATGATAAAAAGAGGAATATAAACATGTTGTGAACATCTATTTACTATCTTGAGAAGGGATGTACTTGCCAGATGGAGGAGTGTCTCTGAGAGACAGACAGAAAGGATCATTTGTAAACCATTAGCCACTCAACAGGGAGGAAGGAGAGGCGGCATAAAGACCTAATGCAAGAATGTTCAGAACCATTTCCATCAGAACACTAAGGACAAATAAAGATGTACCCTCTCAAGTTATAATTTAAATAATGTGCAAATATGATCTAGTTTGGAGGAGGAAATTTGAAAGGTACACCTCTCTAGTAAGGTCTAAAAGTAAGGAGGTTGTCAACTTTGCTCTTTTCATTTCAAAGTGTTTTCAGCAAACGCTTAATCTTCTTAGCATTCCTTTTTGAACCATTGTTAGGGTCGAGTCCTTAACAGGTAAAGCAAGTCCATGTTGTTGGTTGCTAGAACAACACTGTGGGAGGACAGGCCCTCATGTGTTAGGGATTCTAGTCCTGACATGGTAGGCTGAACTTGCTTCGAGGGCACGTGACAAAGAGTTATAAATTAATTGTGTGATGGAGGAAGTCCTTAGGAATACCGTGCCTGCCCCTTGTTTCTGCTGGTTGGCGGTCACCATGGCAACCCCTAACTGCAGACCAAAGTTCAGCCACTGTAAATCTTTATGACCATACTCATAGTCCAATGTTCCTTGGGGCATTTTGTCCCTTGAAGAGCTAGCTTTTATATTTTACAAGAACTGTTCATTCGGACTCCTTTTCTAAATACTGGACTCCAAATGATAAGGTCCAAACTTAGTACAAAAAATCATTGCTTTCTGTGTTAACCATAGGACCCCTACTTTCCTGAGAAGATGCCTACGACGAAGAAAACACTGATGTTCTTATCGAGCTTTTTCACAAGCTTTGGGGCGTTCATCGTAGTCTGCTCTATGCTTGGGACCCAAGAATGGGTCAGCAGCAGAATAGCCATCAGTGACTCTTCTTCAAACGGTACTCTTGTTGTCGTCTATGGACTCTTTCGTGGTAACAGTCGTCAGGAATTCAGTCATGGACTTGAGGAATCAAAGAAGGACTTTGGAGGTAAATGAGAAATTAATTTGAATGGGTATAGCGAGATTGCATTAACTGGGTAAGACTCATGTCATCCTCTATTTGGGCCAAATAACTGTACAAAAATGATTTCCTTGTAAGCTCTGAGATGGCTTGTAGATATGAACATATATTTTTAATTTTGAAAATTATTATTTTAGCTTCCTCGGTTCTGGTTGTGTCTGTTAGCACCACAGTCTAAATAATTCTGGCAGAGGCTCTGTTGAAGCAGCATTACCAAGTTTACTGACAAGTAAATAATTAAGTAAGTATGTCTAGCAGGAATACGGTATCCAACATAGGGGGATAGTAGGAACAGTATTTTTAGTTGTATTGACTGCAGATTTTTATTCATTTTTAAAGATTTTATTTATGTATTTGAGAGAGAGAGAGAGAGAGTGAGAGAAAGACAGCATGAGTGGGGTGAGGGGCAAAGGGAGAAGCAGATTCCCTGCCAAGCAGGGAGCCCAACGCGGGGCTTAATCCCAGGACTCCAAGATCATGACCTGAGCAGAAGGCAGATGCTTAACTGACTGAGCCACCCAGGCGCCCCTAAAAGCAACATTTGTAAATTATTTAGCACCTGGGATGGACTCTGCATCGAGCAGTGTTGCATGCAGGTAGACAGGCATTATCAGCCGTGACTCGGCCATTCCCCGCTGACTTAGAAATGTGCATCATTTTCTACCTCATACAAATGTAGTATTTAGTTTGAGTTGAACCTTAAACCCTGAACAACATAGTTCTATCTCCAAGTTATGAAATTTATCTCTTAGACATTAGCAAAAGCAACGTCTCTTCCAGTGGTCCAGTAACATTACACGCCTCCTCCAGTCCCGGCCTCAGCATCTCAGGAAAGCGAGGAATATTCCCTCTGCAGCAACCCGAAACTAAGACTTTCAAACATGCAGTCACACATTCAGTATGTGAATAGCATTTTCAAAACCAGAATGTGTACCAGTTCCTGAGCCTCCAGACACACTGAAAAATTTTTAAATATGAGATAACAGCCGGTGAATTTTTTGATTTTCATGCTGTCTGTTTGGAACCAGTTGGTTCCCATCTGAGAGACAGGGCTTCAGTGAGAGCCCTGATTACCTGTATCAGGAAAGCCGGGGAGGCCAGGGCAGGTCCGAGCCTGACTCTAAAGCCCTGTGTGAGGGAGGTGAGTGGGATGGTGTGGAGATCGCAGGGAGAGGCGTAGTCTAGAACAACCCTGAGGGCACAGGGCCAAGTGGGCACCACGGCGCCATATGGCAGCGTGAAGGAGGCTCACTATTTGCATTTGTTTTGCCTGCGTCTCTGCTTTTATTCTTTGTAACCACAGAGCTATGGTCAACTTTCTCAAGTCACTGCCCAGCGTCCAGGTGCTGTAGATCAGCCGCCCCCCAGTCAGAGAGAGTGCAGCACAATTGCTCTGCTGATGTCTGCTGAGGGCCCCCCAGAGCCTAGGGGGTGTTCACTGCTGAGGGTTTTAGCGATCACTGGACTTGGAACATTTGTAAACGGTTCTCCAAGGTAGGGGAAAGTCACATAACTGGAACGTATATCATGGCGTTCAGCTGCTGCAGACCCATGGATGTTTTCCCTTGAGAGCAGAACTGGAGACCGAGCATAGCTGTTGCCCAGCTGGTTTCTCGGGACCACATGGGGCTCATCTCAAATCAGAAACCAATCGCTGGCAGCAAAATAAAATCTGTATAAATGCCACTTCCTTCCCCAGCAGTGATGCATCAACTTTTCCATTTAAGACGTTAACATTATCAGCTTCTTGCCCAGGATGAGGTCACACTGTAAATCTCCAAAGAGGGGTGAATATTGCAAAGCTCGCCTGTATTTCTGCCTAGGACTTATCACATTGTGCCAATTTGGGCTGTAGATTTTGAGATGACAACACAGTACGAAGTGACAATGGCTGATTTCAACACACCAAAAGAATCCAGCCGCCAATAGGTCTACTGGTAGGGAAGATAATCCGTCAAGCCTGGCAAGGAAACTCTCCAATACGTGACTAGATTATGTGGCCGGCTCAGCCCAACAGGAGATCTACTAGCTTCATCTGGTGGCCTCTCGGTTTGTCCAATATCCAGATGAAAATTACAGTCCTTGTGTCCACCAGTAAGCACTTTGCTTTTGCTACTCCAAAAGTTCTGGATATTGAATTTCAGTCCAAAACACTTCCCTGAGCAGCTTCTCCGTGAGGGACGGGCTGGGACACCGAGAGACACTGCACGTGGCTCCTGGGCTTGGTGAACTCGCCATTGCTTCTATCTAGAGAAAGGCCCCCGTCAGTTAACTCAGGCAGTGCAGGTCGCTATGACAGCAAGAGGAAGTTGCACCCAATCTGCCCGCCCGCACCCCTCCCCCAGGTCTCTTTTCTCCATCTACCCCGTTTGTTTTTAGGGGACTCAAAATTGCACTATCGGCCCAAGCTAAAAAATAATTAGAACGGTAAATCTGCTGCAAAAATCAATTAATTGCAAGGAGACAAACCAATGAGGCTTATTTCTTCCTTAGTACTCCTACTCACCAACCCCACCCCCCATATTCTTACACTTTTCCAAGGAGAAGCGACTTACTATTTGTCCCCAGAGACATGGCCACGTTGGGTGATGGAGTTTAACAGGGCAGAAAATGCACTCCCCCTCCTTCTCCGTGAGAGAACCCAGATAAATTTCCCAGAGGCTGGGCATGACAGCTGCGACTTCTTGGAAGACCTCAAGGGCTCAGCTTGTCAGGGGTATACTGTGGTCCATGGGTTGAGGAGTCTACCGGGTAAGGCTCCCTGATGACCAGGTGTCCGAGGAGAGGGTGCGGGCAGTTCCTGACCACCCACAAAGCCACGCCTCAAGGTCTGAGGACTGATGGGAAACCAGAGCTAGGAAGACCCTATGGCGAGGGCCTCCTGAAGGGTTAAATCTCCATGCACAGAAAGCCCGGTGTCCACATGACCCATTTCTGTACACTGCCCACCGCCCCCAGCACATTTTCTGCCTCCCAGCTGTGGGAGCGATGGCCTCTTTCCTGAGGTTGCCAGAATCCGGGCAATTAGTTCCAATTGTGAGGTGGTTTTCCTGATTCCAACGCTTGGCCCTGAAAAAGAAGAGGAAAGAACGGAATGTATTTGCTAATTTTGTAGGCCGAGAGGAGCTGTCAGATGCTGGGGGTGCTTATTCTATTTCATTCTTGCCAACTTTCCCTGAATTTCCAGCTTTCATTGTCTGAGTTCTGAGCCAGGAGGGGGCTGAGGGATATGGCTGTCATACCTGTGAGGCAGGAAATTCAGATGCTGAAATAGAATTTTAAAAGATGGCAGTTAAAATTAAGATAAATTGTTCCATTAATACAAAGAAAAGTATGAGTCAGTAGGCTCCAAATTGATGCCCTTTTGAAAAATCGTGTCTGTTAGATCTTACCAACAGTCAAAAACAAAACCTAACCTAATTGTCACTTTCTAGTTTACTCTGAAAAAGTGCAACATTCACCATTTGCAAATGAACATCCATTTACAGCTTTTAATAAGTGTATAAAGCAGAAATACTCTCCAGGGCACGCCAGAGGTGACATTCTCCCCCACACTGAAATGTCTATTTTTTAGTTAAGTATCCAAATTATTTCTTACTGGCTAAACGCAGAGTTTATTTAGTCCCCAGCAAATTTCTGATTAGAGCTTCAGGCTTCCTCCTTGTGGCCTGGGAGGAGCAGGGTGACTGGGATGGGAAACAATTCTTCCTCAGGGTGAGAGTTGGAAACTCCCCAGCATTCGACCCTGCACCTCCGAACAGGTGCATCCTACTTCCCGTTTTTCCCTAGTCCTACTCTTGCGTCATCATCCACTCGTTTCAAGACAGATGCGCGCTACATTAGAACCATGAGAATCCCCCGACCCCTGCATCTCCACGGGGAGAGTCTCAGCCTGAGCTCAGGGCCTGCAGAACGGCCCAGCCCATGCGGTTCCCCAGAGGGTAGGGGGCTCATGGGACTCCAGCCATCCCCCCACCAGGCCATAGGAGGTGGGAGGCAGGACCACATGTTTTATTTAACCTACGCCATCACAGTTCTCCCGTGGGATGGATCCCACAGAGGGCTCTGCTGAGGACTTGGCCCAGCCTGGGGGTCATTAGCAGAAGTTGTGAAACCGTCCAGTCACCGCTGGGTCCGTGTGAGCTGAACTTTGCTCCAGGCCCGCCTCTCACCGAGGAGCAAAATGTTCTCGGGCCAAGGGCGGTGACGTCATCGGGTCCGTCTTGCTGGGCTCACAGCTCCCCTCTTCTGGCCTCTGTGTTCTCTCAGGGGCTTCCCAGGGATGCGTGGCCACGCCTGCCTGGGGCGGCTGCAGGTCTCCGACTCCGCTCCTCTTTCCACCAGTTTCGCTTCCGTAGCCTCTCGCTGTGCACTGTCCAGAGGCAAGAAACCTGCCTCCTTCCTAGAGTACTGCCGATTGAAAATAAAAATCAGAATTAACAATCTAGATGCTCAGAACCGGAG